GTACCTCCAGGCATTCCTGGAACAAGTTGAGAGTAAATAAATGTCCCATGAGCAAAGTGTAATGAAAGGTAATATGACACTGCCATTTTGATAGGATTTGCAAACGGGTAAGAGTAATACAATATTTATTCATCTATGTCATTCAATGACTTTTGAGGATTATTCGGAGTTAATTGTGTGAATAGAAAAACTAGCTATTATAGTAGGTTGGAATGACTGCCCCCAAGGATGGTAGGCCTGAAACCTGTAGAGATTAATTTATATGGAAAAGGGGTCTTCACAGACAGTAAGCTAAGGATCTTGACATGGCAAAATTAACCTGGATTAGGCAAGTGAGCCCTTAATATAAAGCACAGTGTTCTTGTGAGAGAGAAGCAGAGTCAGAGAGCGTGAGAGAAAGCCACAGACAGAGGAAGAAAAGGAAGTGTGATCACTGAAGCAAAGATTGGTGATGGCAGCCGCCAGGGGCCAGAAGGGACAAGGAGCAGATTCTTTGTCAGAGAATCAACAGGAAGCTCAGCTCTGCAGTTCCCTGACTTTGGTCCACTGGAAGTAGGTTTGGACTTTTGGGCTCCAGCAATTGTGACATAAATTTGTATTGTTTCTTTAGCCACAAAGTTTGTGGTAGTTCGTAGCAGCAGTGACAGGAATGAGCACAACTATTGAATATATACAAGTTGTTAAATGAAAAGACTTTTCTCCTTTTACCTTTATAGCTTATGCAGAAGGCAAACATCAAGAAACTTATTTTCATGTCAAATAATAAAATACTAAAAATATCAGTTTAAAGGATCAAGAAGGTTTTATTTTTAAAGACCTGCCATGTGTTTCAAAACAAATGCTAAATCCCCAAGCAACTCTCCTTCCTCTAGATGTTCCCCAACGTACTGTAAAGGAATGTGCCCAATAATTCCATCACAAATTGAAGAATACCATTTGTTGAGAATGCTCCTCATCTAGGACACATCATTGCTTAGCAACCCTTCACAGTAGAGGGTCAGCAGTTTCCTCCGTGATGATGTGGCTGACGGGAGCTGTGGTTGGCTGTCTCTGTCCAGCATTCAGAGAGAATACTGTCAGTTTCTCATTGCTGTCACAAAATACATGAGAGCAAACGAAAGGAAGGAGAGATTTATTTGGCTCATAGTTCCAGAGATTTTACTCTAAGGTGAGCTTGCTCCATTGTCGTGGACCTGTGGCAAAACCCCACAGTAGGCATCAAGGGCTTTATGGCAGAGCAAAGGTGCTTACTTTTTGCAGCTGTGAAGCAGAGAACAAGACAGAGAGAGGGGCAGGAACAAGACACCCTTCAAAATATTCAGAGTGACCTTCTTCCACCCAGGCCCAACCTCCTACCCTCTCCCTATAATGCCATTAAATTATCAATGGACTCGTTCATTGATTAGGTCAGAGCCTTCAGGATTCAAACACTCCTTAATGACTGGAACAACTGGCAGAGGATAAGCCTTTGACACAAGAGTCTTTGGGGGACACTTCCTATTCAAACCATACTGCCTTATCATAAGCCTGGGAAAAGATCAAAACTCTGAGTGCACTACTGAATGGGTGGCCATTTTTGCACCACCTTAAAGCTGAAAATCCTTACATCAAATATCATAAGTAAGGAGCTGTGTTCACTAACAGTATGAAAGTAAAGTTCTTCAGCATCAATGGGGAGCGACTGGAAAGGCTGTCCTGTGAACTGCCCATTCCAGTCTCCTCCAGCTCCCTCCCACCGAGTCACCCCACTCACATCCCCCCATACTGCATCTACCCACTCCCTAGAATGTCTTCTAGGGATCTATTATTTCACAGAACTGAAGAATGTATTTGCAGATTTGATTTCCTGGGACTATTTCTAGGATCTGCTCTTCTATGTGCAAATAAACATGTGCAAAGGGCTGGGAAGGTGGCTCAGTGGTAGAGCGCTTGCCTTGCATGCATGAGGCCCTGGGTTCGGATCCTTAGCACCACATAAGCAAAAAGAAAAAAAGCCAGATGTGGCGCTGTGGCTCAAGTGGTAGAGCACTAGCCTTGAGCTGAAGAGCTGAGGGACAACGCTCAGGCCCCATGACCAGACCCAAAAAACAACAACAACAACAACAAAAAAAAAAACGTGGAAAATGGTGACACATCTCTGCTTGTCTCTAGATGAAGGGGCAAAGAGAGGAAAGAGGCAAAAAGATACACAATCCACTGTCCAGATAATTTTAAAACAAACTCTGGGGCAGCTAGCAGCATCCATCTCAGAAATCACAGGACTCTCTTAGGATCTAAGAAGCCAACATTCCTTTGCTCTGTCCCACCCACAAAAGTTCCATCCTCAAGACGAGGATGGAGGGGGAGAGGGAGGGGAAGAGTAACAAAGGGCAGGGGCACAGGTGGAGAAGACAGAAGTTTCATTTTTCCTCTGGGAAGCCATAGGGTTTGAACAGGAATAGATATTCACAGCACTAACTTTCTACTCGTTACCCACTTGGCTGTAAATAAGGGATTCTCTCTGCATTATGAGGATGAGAACTCTGTCCACCTTCTGGGACACTATACACGTGAAATGAGTCAGTGCACAGGAAGCACTGGGAACAGAGATGGGACACAATAATGCACCTGTGTTATTTCAGCATCACCTACAAGACCTGAGATCTTTTATGCTCTTGTTGCACTGTGTGGCCTTATTTCCTACCATTAATATTAGGCAATGTGACATTCTCATGTGTCCTACAACCACCCAACGGATGTGTTCATCTTCCTCTACCGTAAGTACTATAAAGCAGAAGGCAAGTCTGTTTTTTGTGTTTCTTTGTGTGGTGCTTGGCAAAGGAAAATTGCTCTGAAATATTTGCTTACAAGGAAAGCAACTCAGTGACATTAGAGATTTCCAATCTGTCGTTTTAGATGTCTTCAGAATTTAGATTATTATTTTTTTTAACTTACTATAATTCTCTTCTGGCTTCATAGAATAGTAGAATCACCTGGGAAGTTTTTAAGTGTAGCCAGTGCCCCAGGGATTCCAGTTGGATTGCTATTGGGTCAGCCAGGGTCCACTTAGTCCAACCTGTCTCTCTATAGCTACAGGCTCTTTATTCTTGGGTTTAACCAACCACAGAACAAGAATACTTGAAAAAACGTTGAACATGTACAGATGCCTCCCCCACCCATCATCATTAGTTCCTGAAAATTCAGGATAACCTTTTTTTTTTTACATCACATTTATATTGACTTAGATGTTATAAATAATCCACAGATTTAAATACATGGGAAGATCCCAATAGGTTCTTCGTGAATTCTGTACCATTTTATACAAGAGCCTTGAGCATCCCTGGATTTGGGGATCTTCCGGGGATGGCAGTGCTAGAACCAATCCTCCATGAACACCACGGGATAAATGTATGTAAGATTCTCTAAGAACTCCAGTCTGCACCCAGGATGGGAAAGCCTCGTGCTGCTTCCAATTCAATCTCTGCTTTTGAACTGATCCAATAAATAAAGAGTCTCTGCTTGGACAAAATGGTAGTCCTGTTTCTGACCCTTCTCCTAAGGCTCACCAGTGCACTTCCTTGTACACTCAGGCTTCAGCAAAGAACTCTGTGAAGTCGATGTACCACCACGCCCGTTCCCACGTTTCAGAGGCTAGCCATCCTCCACGTGTGGCCAGCGTCTTCACCCTCCACCACCCGGGCACATCATCCCCCCGGCCCTGCTTCCAAGTAGATTCCTGTGAGGTGTGGCCCCCTGCTATCTTCTCTCAGTAATTTTCCATTACTGACCTCCACGTTGCTCACTGGGCCGTACGCATGCCCACTTGGCCTTCTCTACCCTGTTGGAAATTGAGTCCAATCCGTCTCACACTCCAAGACCCTTCCCAGTGATCTCCACAGCTCTTCCCATGTCCCCGAATCTGCCCCAATACAGTCACTCTCTTTAACGTCAACGACTTCCAGCCTTGGTTGAGTTCTCCTTTCCCATTTAGATAACCCGGGGAAACACTGGGGGTGGCATTGCCCTTGGCCGAGGGAACCCGTGAGTGTGGTTCTTGCTGTTCAGACAATGGCAGTCCTGGCAGCAAACCGGTTGGGTGACTCCAGGCCCTGGCACTCTCTGCCAGAAGCAGGCTGCTTCTGCCCCTGGGTCATGAACCTCTTTTTTTCCTTCTTCTTCTTTCTGACATGCTGTTATGCATATGGAAAGGCATTCCTTAGTGTGTTGAATCGTGGCCATATTCGTGTCTGAGGCTGGACTCCGCAACGCACTCCTGGGGGTTGCTCCCCAGGGTTGAGTTGTGACTCAGTTTCTTCTTACCTGGCTCTGGCTGCACATACACCCACCTCTGACCCCCCTACCCCCATCCATTTACTCTCATTCTCGAATGAGCCCAGAGTCTTCCCGACCCCAGCCTGTCCAGTGACCAAAGACGAAGGCGCTGCGGATAGCCCAGGTTTGCGGGGGGGGGGGCACAACCGTGGCCTTGGGCTCCCCCCTCCCCGCGCACTGGGACAGATGGGGACTCAGGTGGTGGGAGAGGTAGAGGGGGGGGTCACTTCCGAATCGCAGCAAACCTGGGAACAAGTGCCAATCTGCGGCCGGTCAGGGGTCTGGGGTCGCTCCCTGGGTCTCCTCCACGAGGGAGATGGAGAGAAGCGCGTGTGCTCGCCCCGGACAACAGGTTTGGGGGGGGGTGCCCGCCAAGGGTGAAGAAGTGGGGGGCGGCGGCGATGGGCTGGGGAAAGAAGTAGCGCGGGGCCCGGCGCGTTCCCTGCCGCGGGCCGCCGGAGGGTCGGGTCGGGCGCGGCCGGAGGGTCGGGTCGGGTCTCCAGCGCCTGGCTCACCCGCCGGCCCCACGGCAGCCCCGAGTCGGGCGCCCCGGCGGGGTCCGCGCGGGAGGGCCCCGAACCCGTTGGTCCGTGTGCAAAGTTAGACGGGGCAACAAGAGCGGCCCGCCGCGCGCCGGGGCTCCGGACCCTCGGGGGTGGCGCGGGAGGGGGCGATCGGCGAGCACTTACCTTGTGCCTGCGCCTCCATGGTGCCCGACTTGGAACTGAGCGCGGCCCGGAAGCTCCGGCGCTTCGCCGCGCAGAGGGCAGCGGGTGGGGGGGACGCAG